CTCTAGGGCGAGAGACGGAATGCGCATGTGCGCACCAACAGTTTAGCGGTATCATTGTACCCTCCCAAGGTACAGACCCGGGTTCGACTCCCGCTTGGTGCAATTTCTTTACTGTATGGCAATGTATTTGTTAGCTTTGCGTTTTGTCCATTTCACTCCTAACAACCTCTAAAATATTATCGATGACACTCTCCTGTGATACAAACTAGGGTTCGGCTGCCTGGTTGGTCTCACACTTTTTGTCGATTAGCCAAATTAAAAAATTCAAGACTTTTTACCCGTTTTCCTGTTAATGGCTTTCTTAGCGGATCGGAATGTGTTGCTCAGTATGCGCTGTGAAACCGCATATGTAATCCGTTCAGAGGTGTGCGTAGCCGAAATCTTCCTCCTTTGTCATCTCTTTACTCAGTGGTCGCCTTTAACCATCTGAACGGCGTGTTCCACTATTCGACTGGCTTGAAAACACAGCTGTTACCTCTGCTAAAAATGGTACTTTTTCCACAGGCTTTATCAAAGTCGGCAAGCATACGTTCCGCTTGGCTAATGTTTGGTGTTATAGGGATATCATCAGCAATGGAAAGACAGTGTAATTTCCGACCACCGATTTTCACTCCCGTATTATCCCCTTCCAATGTTCGCATGATGCTCTCGAGAGTCACGGTGAATAATTTTAGCGGCATAGTATCGTCTTGCATAACCCCTCATTTCACGCCGTTGTTAATACCAATGTAGAATGGTGATATCTTAGTTGTGAAATTTTGCGTAGGTCACGAAGATCCTTCATGTAGGGACTTCCTGAATATCATGGGATTCGTTGACTCCTATCTCAAATGAATCAAAGGCCTTCTTCAAATCGATGAAGGCGAGACAGGGAGGTCTTTTATACTCTCGTGATACTTCAGTGAGTCTTGTTACCGTGTGGATGTGGTCCATTGTACTAAATCCTCTTCGAAACCCTGCTTGCTCACATGGCTATCCTTCGTCTAGTGTTCTGTCAATCCAGTTTAGGATGACTCGAGTGAAATGTTTGCAGACGGCGGAAATCAAGCAGATTGGGTGATAGTTGCCGATATAGTGGAGTTCACCGTTCTTGAACAATAGCACGGCTCTGCTGTTGTTCTACTGAGTAGGGACCTTGCATTCAGACAAGTAACGTGTGTAGATCCGAGCCAGCGTGTTTATAAGGACTGGCGGAAGTTTCTTCAGTGTCAATATTTAAGCTACGCAGTTATTACTCTTGTGGGCTTCTTATAAAGACTTCGCGAAAGATATGATTAAGAAGCTAATACTAAACATATCTATTTATATATTTATTTATATGATCGTATAAACTGATCTTCTTTAGCTGGTGCGAGGTTGGTAAAGGTCATCGTTGTCATTGTCGTTGTTATTATTGTTGTTGGTCGATGGCTGACGTTTCGGCGATTTCGCCTTCCTCAAAGCCTAAACGCACTTTATATAAGATTATTTTTATTTCGAAACCGACTTTCCTTTAACCTCGGTGTGACTAATCAATATGTATTCTTTCTTTGATAAGCTTACCCGAGGTTGATAATGATGTTTATTTTAGGCTAACGTTTCGACGTCTTCTTCTTCCTCAGAGCCGATGATCCGAGTCGACGGTCCTCGCTTGTTATTCGTCTCGACGGCTTCGCCTTCGTGTCGAGTTATGCCTTCCTCAGCGGGCCATCTCCTCGAATGGGGCATACTCACTTGGTGATGCCCTTTTATACACTATGCTGATGGTCATGCTGATGATATAACGATAATGTCCGGTCACAAAAATATTAATATAATATAATATTATATTATATTATATTATTAATATTATATTAATATTATATTATTAATATTACAAAAATATTATTATGCTAAGAGAAATATTGAAATAAAATAATAATAATAGTAATATGAAATATTGCTACGCTTTGTACTAGCTGATAATAGCACGGACTTCTGCACCGTGCAATGTCCGGAAGAACAACAAGTTGTTATAACCGCCTCAAACGCCTCAAGAGTTTTGAGTGTTGATGTTTTTGATTCCTGCGCTAGGAACCGCACGGTCACTTTAGCACAGTTAAGTAGATGGATTGGAATGAATTTTAGAAACTGGGTCAGGATAAGGTTTTTTCAGTAAAGTAGTGCCTTAGTTGTTCAATCTTCAGGTGGTCTCGAAATACTATGCGCAAATGAGAATACTGGAAATGGGACAGAGACTGTCACAAAGTCTCGCTATTGCATTTACGTCCAAAATAGAAGCAGCCGTTTTTGATCTTCGGCCTTTATTCTACTGTAGATATATAGACGACTGCTACACCGTCTGCTCCAAGAACAGAAGGATGAGCGCTTTCAATTGTTAAACCGACAGTCAGAGTATATAAAATTTACACGGGGAAACCTGCCGAGAACTGGCTTCCATTCTTAAACATCCAAATAAAGCTCTCAATATGTGGCTATATAACAAAATGGTATCGCAAGCCAAGTAGTAAAAACATTCTAGTCCACTGCCTCTCCTCTCATCCTTCACACATGAAAAAGCACTTATCAAAAGCATGTATCGTACGGCTAAAAATGTGTGCACAGGAGAAGAGGAAAAGAAGGAATCGCGAAACCTGGCACGGAAAATTGCCATTTCCAATGGCTACGAAGTAGAAGCCACTCGGGCTAGAGGAAAACTTCGGGTAGATTCCCAAAATAATATTTCGGACGTAAGTAAAATCTCCTTTAAGCTACCCTTCACATCAAATGAAGTAAGCCACGCCATTGAAAAGTGCTTAAAAAAACTGGTCTTGAAAATTATGTAACGATTACTGACATCCCACCCAATACCCTACGCCGCCATTTAGTTCGAAACCGCCTCTATGATCGTTTGTGCAGCTCAGAAAACTGTATGATCTGCCCTAACGGGAGAGACGGCGATTGCAAGGGTTTAGGTATAATATACTTGATCTCATGTAATGCATTCGGTGAGGAATATATCGGGGAAACGGGTAGACCACTTTGTGTCCGCATAAAAGAACATCTATATGGAAAATCTAAAATTCGTCAAAACACTCCCCTAGGTACGCATAGGGAACAAAAGCACAACGGCGATGATTTTGAAGTGGATGTGCAGATCCTAGCGCAGGAATCAAAAACATCAACGCGCAAAACTCTTGAGGCGTTTTGGATAAATTTCAGAAATCCAAAGATGAACCGGAAGGACGAATGCCTCACTATCACGCGTGACCTGGCGCCCTATTTCAAAATGATATTTTGTCCCCGGGGCGTGTCTTGCTCGCGACCCCAAGTGAACTACGTGTGGGCCAGTCCCGCACGTAGCATCACGGTGAGTGGCCTTTCTGTTCAATATAGCGTCTATTTGAAAGTTTGGTCTTCATTAACACTTTAACTCTTTTCAACCAAATAGTAAAAACAGTCTTATATAAAGTACGTTTAGGCTCTGAGGAAGGCAAAATCGCCGAAACGTCAGCCATCGACCAACAACACCAACAACAACGACAACGACAACGAAGACCTGCACCAACCTCGCACCAGCTAAAGAAGATCAGTTTATACGATCATATAAATTAATTTATCAACTATCTATGCCGAGGTTCATAGAAGGTCGGTCTTTCGAGTTATAAAGAGAAGTTCACATCTATCTACTTTATGCTTGAATGGCCCGTCCTCACTGATTGGACCGTCCTAGCATAATCTCCATTTTTCGGGGATTTGCTTTTTAAGCTTTTTAAGCCAATGTGATTCTTTGGGATCCCGAACTCAGGCTGGCCAAAGTCTGCCCCAGGTCGTCACCACGACAAACTGTCGCATCCCTTGCTGGTCTGGGGGAGATTCGCCACCATGCGACTTTGGAACCAGGAGGGTGATGGATCCTGGTATGCGTTTGCTCTTAGCTAGGCTTGCTGATGGAAACGCCGGACACTTTCTCAGCCTGGGAGACCCTCCTAGCTGGATGAATCCATGATGGTGGGGGTGGTGGTTAAACCGTTGGGAGGACATTCAAGCATGCAATGTAGTAAATTACAACGATGAATGCACTCTTTGTTCAGAGTAACCGCTTTCTACGCCGAATTTGTAACTCATTTGACGTCAAATTTGTGTTTATGTAATGTACACAAGTATGTGCAAATGCCCTGAATAACGTGTGTAAAATTCTTTCTGTTGCTTTATTTCCTCTCATCCAGGCGATTTTTCTATGTGTTCTATTTTTGGTTGTTTTCTGGAAAACGATTTCGTCGGAAATGGTGTTTTTGCGCATTATAAAGTGTGAGAGCGCCTTTTCTGATGTTACCCGCCCACCAATGATCAGGTTTTTACTATCAACGAATGAATATGCATTGCGTTGTAGAAAAGTGCTGGAACCTACTGAAGAACTAAAATGTACATTTCAGTCTCTACGCCGTCGGTTATGTGTTAAGCTGTTTAACGTGCAGTGTTTAATTTGCATCTTTAAAAATGCTTTACCGATGTAATTTCTTTGAATTATTACTCTACAATAATTCAGCTATTTACATGAACACGTAACACTGTTGCTGTAGCTTCATTAATGGTCATTCATAGCCGACTTTGAATTTTGTTCTTGATAGCTGATAGACATAACAAGCAGATTCGGGTTATACAGCATGAAAGAGAATAACGGTAGTAATACAGCATGACATCAAGCAACAGGGATTCTAGGAAATAGGAAAGGCATAAGAGCCTTCATTCTGTCATTTCTGATCAGAGCTATAATCGGATACTTAGTAGATTAACTGAACAATTTATGAGGAATAATCATAGAATGGATGTACTGCTTTCTTTCATGGCATTATTAATCAAAACTGTAAATCTCCATAACTGTTTCTTGTGGACGAATTACGTCTTACAATAGGCGAATCATCCTAGTATTTCGATAGTACGTCTTACTTTTTATCCTAATTATTTTGCATTTTCATTATGACTCTAAACCAATATCGGCATAAGATAGACGTAAATAAAAATAAAGCAGTCATCATTTTTTAATGTCTATGACGATGACGACGCTGATAGCCATCTTTCAGTGAATGATGACGTCCTCGTATGAACGGCACAAACTCCATCACAATTCCATCGTTGCCAGTCTGTATGCTTTTTGTTCTATTAAACAAATAGGAATTCCTTACATATGTATGATCTCTGAGTTATGCTTTTTGTTGAGAATTTTCGCTATGAGACTCTCTTTCGCTTTCGGTTTTTGCAAAATAAAAGGTAACCATCGGCTTATAACATCACAGAAATCATTTCAAAAAAACGTAGCCTTTTAACAATGAAGTGTGACCAGTTTTGCAAAATAAATGATTCTTGGATTCCGACTTTGATGAGGTTCTCTAACCAACAGTGCTCACCTAACGTCAAGCTCATATCGCCATCTTACTCTTGTCATGACATAGAAAGAAACCTACTGAATTTCGACTTGGCTCACTGTATCTATTAGGACACATATGTTCCCAAATACAGTGGCCTTGCTCGTTGCGAACAAATCCGTCCTTGCAAAGGCATCGAGGAAAATAACATTTAGAATTGTTGGGATCGTGGTAGCAATGCGGCGGACTGGAAACAAGTCGTTAAAGGATAAAACGAAGCTGTCATTTTTATGTAACACAATCACCTTTAAGATAGCGATAGTAAAGTTAAAGCTAAAGTAAATATCAAACGCTATTCAAAAGAAGCAAGTGCTGCAATGAGTCGTAGTGTCGTTCATTACGATGAAGCAGCTGATTCGATTTTACTCAGCGATGAACGACACGGTGCAATGTAGTGCCTGTTTCCTGTTGCCTCGTCTAATGATGACGCATTGAGGTATAGCTATCACAAAATCTCTTATTCACTTTCACAAAATTACTGCGAGACTTGTCTAAAATTAGCCCATCTCCTCCAGTTCATGCGGAAATGCCACTAGCAGCGCTATCCCAGAATTTTAAGGAGAATCGGCTCTACAAGCTTACAACGACATTTATAAACAAAATGACCCTAACGAAGGAGTCGAACCTACGAAGATAAAAGAGACCTTGTTGATAATGGAGGCGCAGAAACGAATAAAATGCAAGAAGTGCTGAGGTCTTCACAATATGTGATATCAAATCATGAAACATCAAAAAAAATTATTGCATTTTATCTATTTATTTTGATTTATTGATAGAGTAAGGTTTTTCACACGCGAGTTTTCTCCTACGAAAATCAGTCACAGTGATTTAACGATCCTCAACCCTTTGAAAATAATGCTTTCTGTGTAGAAAAACATATTTCTGATAGCTCGTCACAGTCTTTTCTAGATTACCTAGAATAAACCTTTAAATCAGAGATTCCATTTTAACAAATTTCTCAAAGTTATCTGCAGATTTGAGGCTAAGCGTCCATTTCTTTTTCGTTCCGTGTTTTCTTTTTCGCTTTCTGGTTTCAGAATTTTATTTCAGCATTCTCTGGTCGTCAAAGTTTGAAATAAAACAATTCCTATCATATTATTAACGCTGTGAGAAAAATTATAACTATCTAAGCAGCCAAATAGTAACCTGTACATATTATCACAGCTCAGATCGCAATGTTTTTCAGGTCCGCAGGTGACGTGATATTCACGTATGCTACAGTAGGACGAGTGTTTCTCGTTACGAGCTGGATAATGTGGAACTTGGCGATGAATCTGAAACATTTTTCGTAGCTAAAAGACGAAAACGAAGCACGGAAAAGCCGAAGGTTTCTAGTTAATGCTCTTAAGGCCTTTCCACTTCTGCGATTCGTGTCGTTTTCACTTGTTCCTAACAATTTTTTTCTTTTCCCATTAAGAGAAAGCAAAAACATCATAGAATTTGATGTTTAGCTCGGACCTTACTTTTTTTGTTCTCACAATCTCTTTGATTTTTACCAGTGGTAAAAAACGATAAAACGAAGTCTGATCCCCGAGTTGGGTTTAACTGTTTTCATGTTTAGTTTATCTCGACACCGTTTTCTTTCGCTTTGCTTAAGTACAGCAAAAAGGATAAACTTTTAAATAAGAGAACAAACTCCTCATTACAGTATTTTCTTCGATCTATAATGATAAAGGCAGTAAAATAACGTTCTCCGTGGCTTGACTTCCCGAGCACTATTTTACCCTTAAAAAATTAAAATATTATAGAACTTCGTTTTTTCTTATTTCTCACATTACTTTGATACTTCGATAACCCGCCTTCGATGGTGGTGCGAACCCCTGCAAAATCTCCACTTTTCGGGCTTTTGCTCGCTTAGCCCTGTGGTTCCCTGGAGTCTCGAGGTCATCTTGGGCAAAATCTGCCCCAGGTCGCCACCACACCAGGCAGTTGCATTTGTTTGTCAGAGGGAGATTGGCTACCATGCGGCTAATTTGATACCAGGACGGTGGTGGGTCCTGATATTGGTTTACTCTCAGCTAGGCTTCCTAATGATGATGTCGCTGGTTTTCTCAGCTTGGGAGGGCTTGCCGAGAAGATGAATCCCCACTGTACATCACAGCCCGACACCCAGTAACAGCTCCCAGCCGCGACAAGGCGGTAAACTATGGGTAGGCATTAATACATTTCACTATTAAAACCATCGACGATGTGCACCGCAAGACATTTCTTCCATAAGACTACATGACGGTGCAAGTTCTCCATTTCATGGTTTTTTTCGATTTTACAAAGCTGTTATTTTTAATCAGTGACTTTTTTCCATTTCTCATAAAATAGGTAGAAGAATTGACAAAGTATTAAATTCAATAATTTAAAAGTCGCCGATCTGGGAAGTCTAAGAGCAATATTTTTCGTAGACATTCCGAACACTGTATAATTTAACCAATGTTCACTACCGAAAAAATAAGCCCTCATAGACGACGTTGATGATAAATTGACAGCACTGTGTTATCCATAATAACGTGGAGATACTTGAAAAACTCGGGCCGATGTCCAGTTTCGAACCCGCAATCATCCTTTCCGGATCTCACGTGCCCCCATTGCACTATTGAAACTTTTGTTTTGCAGCCTCTCAGCAAGTCTCTTTTTTACCCCAACGGTGCTATCACCCAGTAATCACCCATCAGTTCCACTTGCAAAGGCCTCAGCGGAGCAGTGGGTAGCACGTCAGCACCCGGAATACATAGTCGCAGATTGAAACTGAACTGGACTTCGAATTTTGCAAATATCAGACCATCACTGTGCTTGTGCTGCATATAAAACCCTTTCACGAAGAATCAGTAGCAGTAAATAAAAACCTATGCATTCCAATACTGTGACAGTTTATTATTATCGGCAACCAACTCTTTTCGAGTAGAATGGTTCTTGTGGATCCTAGGAGCGATTTGCATTAGGAACTAATAATCTATGTAAATAATAAGACCATAATGAAACAAACCACGTAGTAAATCGATGGCTATATTGCAACGATTTTGCTATTGTCCACGAATTTTAAACGGGATCGAGGCATCACCTCTTTTGCGTCAGATTCTATTTTTCGTGGAGGGACAGAAAACCGCTAAATTCAAAAAGCAAAATGCCAAAACAACCATAAACTGGAGTTTCTTACGAAAATGTGTTTGGGAAGATGGGATTTTAGACAACATTGATGAAGAATATGACTGACTACCTCAACCTCCCGATATTAGTGCTAAGAAAACCAAGATTTCGAAAATCATAAAGAGAACTTTGTCTCCATTGAGGAATGGTGCCAACATAGAATCACACGCTTCGTAAACAGTCGCGAACTAGTGCCCATAATTTCGAACATCTGTAGAAAGGCGATAAAAGAAGATATTAAGGTAAGATCCAGTATCAGTACTGGTTAAAGAAGAATATATGGGAAAGAGCATTTGCAGCGTTCGCGCAAACATCTTCGAAGCAACGGTGATCACACTTTGACCCCAGATGAAACAGTTACGGCTTCCAGAAAGACAATGAAGAAATGCAACCACAATGGTGCTGAGACACTGGCAAGTCTTTGGTCCCAGGCCAGACTTGTACCTTGCCGTGCGAAATTACACTAGGCAGAAAATAAAAAGTTTAACATTGTGATTTCGACTAGACCCTCAGCTTAACTGTGTTCAATGCAGATTTGTCCTCCCCAGATCAATCCTGGTGACAGGATATTGTTGGTGGCACCGCTAGGCAAAAAACTAGCTGAAAGAAAGGCCTTCAAGGGCCTCAGTGGTTTAATGTGTAACGCGGAGGCCCCCGGAGAGTGTAGCCGTGGTTCGACATGGCCTTGGATCTATGTCGTGTGAATACCTCTCAATCGCTGTGGTTGCATACCACGTAATACCTAGCCTTAAAAAAATAAAGTGGGCAGATAACAAAAAGGTTAACACAATGAATGAAGTTTTCCAGACTTTTACTCTGAATTCTCCGACAGCCATGTTCTCCTTCACACATTTGAAACTATAGACGATGGATATGTTGCCTCAGCAGTTCTATCTTCCAAAATTCGTCATGCTATCTCGTTTGTGGAAAACCGTTCAGCAGTTGGCCGAAACTAAGTAATCTTCATCAATACACTACTCTGTCTCTCTTTGTAAGGTTCGCCGCTGAAGCTCGAAATTCGTAATGACCGAAAAACTAGTCCGATCGCATTCCTGTAAAAAAAAAGAGGGCTTACCAACATCGGCAACTATTGCTCATTCTGCATGTCTGTCGTGTATGAAATCCTCACTAGAGTCATCCTCAGTAGGCTGGAGAAAAAAAAAGAACAAGTGAACAAGAACATGACAGGGTTTCGAAAGTGCTCCAGTACGACGAAGTACATCCACACGATAACAAGATACATTAAAATTTCGCAAAAACACAAGAGACCGTTCTGACTCACTTTTATCGACTCTAGGGTGACCTTCAACTCATCTCGGAGGTAAGTAGTTGCAAAAGCATTAAACAAACCCGCATGGTGTGGTGGTGAACGCGTTACTCCCCGGAAAGGACAATAGCGCGTTCGTTCCCACCATAGACACCTGCGGTCCAGAGTTTTGCAAATATCTCAGCAACGTTGTGGTTGTATTTCGCTTAGTACCCTACCGCGAAATTATAGTAGGCAGAAAATAACAAAAAGAGGTACTCTATCATCACTTTACAACTACATTAACATCAATGTTTTTCTCGATGAGCATACACAAGACTATTACAGCGTTGTATTTCAGCAAATTATGAATTAGGTTTTATCTGCTAAGGTTATTAAAGTGTTTAACTGGCTAGTTTACGAGTCAGCCTGACCGTTCCAGATTCTGAAGAAGGCGAAACCGCCGAAACGTTAGATGTGGTGAAATAATAAATGCTTTAATAGCAACCTTGTGTTTGCACATCAAGACAGACGTTGAGCCATTGATCGTTCTGAGGCTGAAAGAAAGCCTGTCCTGGGATTTACCACATTAACATCGATGTAAAGAAAGATGTTAGCCGATGCAATAACGTTTCTCCAAAATTATTCACAGTCGCCCTCAAGAGCGCTGTGTGAAAACTAGAAGTGAGATAATAGGAGAGTGGAAATCGATTGCCGGCGGCCACACCATCTTCAGTTCGTCGAAGATACCGCTCTTATAATATCATCTATTACCCAGAAGGAACGAATGCTATCTAGTTTCGACAGCTACTGAGGAAAGATTGCTTTTTAGATAAGCCTAAATTAGACGATGTTCGTGGGAAAAGATTTCTTCCTAATGCCATATTCACACTAAACGGAATGAGTAGCTCTGAATGCTACAGTTTTTGTTTGCAAATGGAGAGCTTAACACGATGAGCGACTCAGCTCCACGTTTGCGCAGAAGAAAGCGTGCAGCGTGAAGAAGCTTCAAGAGGATCGCCAGTGGTTATGAGAAAAAAGGAACACTCGAATTCACATAGTCTTCGAATATAAATTCATACCGTATTATAAGGGCCGATGCTGGAAGTCAAACATATGACAAATGAATAAGTGAGGCATTAAACGCAAAGTTGTAAGCAACATCAAGACTAGCGATCAGAGAACGGCTATACAGACCAAATCAGGTAAGCCAGACACCTGATGCTTTCTTGACGTCAACATGTAGACAACAGGCCTTAGCAACTAGCTGTCGCAGATTTTTAAGCGCACAGGAAGAAGAGCGTTATTCGGATGGTCAGAATTCTCTGCGAAGATCCTAGAAGAAGGATATAATGCTTGGTAAATTTCTTGAGTGAGCAGAACGAAACTGGCTACCCTTGCCCACAACAGGGACGCGTGGAGAATATAACGGTAACCGATCGAGTATGTCGACGATAAACGGGATGACAAATGATAATAATGATAGAGGTAGAAGCTAGCATCGGGAATCGCAGCAAGGAAGCAGATAATCCTTAGTGATCAAACCAATGAAGGAGAACCCTTCACAGAAGGACACCTTGGGGTGGAACCATTTTATTCGGTGCTTTATGATCCATTATACTAAAGAAATTTATACGGTGTTACACTCCTTTTCAATCGACTTTGTATCACATTGGAGACCCAGACATACCACGGAATAACTGAAAGAAACATTTTATTCATTGCTGCAGCAAAGACGACAGAGCTGAAGCATCAACTACAGCAACGTTTTGTGACAAGGTCATCCAAGGCTATCAGCTCGGACAAGGACTCAGCCAGTAATATTTTATTGTTTTTACATTTCACATAACTCGTCGTGACATCTACTGTACGGATCCCTGCATTTCCTAGATTCGATTCCTTTTCCACGCATTTATCGTCCACAATGTTTTTGAACATTTCGCGTTTTCCTTCGACTCCTGCTTGCGGATTTCGCCTTTTCATGAATATCACAGAATTTTGGTCGAGTCGATTCGCCATGTAATCGTGTAAATGATCTAAGGCGTCTCCAAAGCCGTAATGTAGTAATAAGGAGTAGCTAAAAGATGGAAAACAAAGACTCTAAGCTCAACCAGATTTTATTTTACCGAAGGATGGACTGACCGTTCTACCAGATAAAGGCACCAGCGAGTGCCTTATATATTAGCAAGTTACCGTGTCGAAATCGTCCTAAGTGCCCTAAAAAAGTGTATATTAGCGTCTGTAGCACCTAGACTAAAGTCTGCTTAAATGCATACAATGATCTGCTCTGCAGCAATGATTAGTCACAACTAAGAAAGGCTCAGAAAGCTTCTCTGATACAGTTTCAAATATTGGTTGATTCAGAATTGTAATAGAAAATATTCAATCGCACATAGATTAAGAGAACAAAGTGAGTTTATCTCTAAAGCTCGCATTATTGCGTACTGTAGATAACTTTAGAACATTAGAATTAGGTTTCTGTAAGTACTAATCGTTGACAAGAATGTTTGCCCATTGTTGTTCTCACTTGCGCTTGATCAAAGCGCCGAACAAACAAACTGATCGCGACGGAAATCACAGACGGTGTTCGTCTTTGAAATGTGCTAAGTGTTTGCTAAGTAGCCTCGGAAATAAAATAAATACTACGGTGTAATTTGAATTATTTTCCATCTAACTGACTCGGAAAACAAACATGTCATAAAAATTTAATATGCCGGAAAAATATAAATGACCATTGTAAGGCAATTATGGCAAGAAGTTCAGCTTTATCTTTCAATAGTAACCAAGTTGGACATCGTTTTTTATTGGTTTTACGCTTCTACCTATTTTAAGATGAACTAGTTGTTTTAGAAGAATTGAT